TTATATTTTTTTAAAAAAATATTAAACAAAATTAATAATTGTTTAGTTTCCTTTTTTAGACAGGTCAGGTCAGGTCAGGTCAAGTCAATTACCCGACCCGACCCGACCTGTTCGGAGCTCTATATTTAATACATTAATTTGAGATTGGTTGGATACAGATATAAAAGTAAGCAAAATAATTGCAGATAAAAATATTGGAAAAGGTAAATATCAAACATATTTAATTAGAATAATGATACAAAATTTTGAGATATATTATTTAATCATAATATCAATACATGATAAACACTAAAAATTAAAAGTTTATTTAGATAATGAAGATATTTATCAAATAATTATTAAATATTTTTAAAGCATTAGATGTAATATAACTGTAAATAAATTTAAGAAATATGGGAAGTGGTTAGTAGAAAAGGGGAAAATCCAAAATTTTTATTAATTTTTATTATTAAGCTAAATTTGTGTATATGTCTAAGATTAGCCAAGTGGTCTAATAATATAAATTTAAACCAAAATTTAGATTTCTCCCTTTTCTACTGATTACCTCCCATATATTAAACAGAAAGTTTTTTTTAAGTATTGGAATTAAAAATAAAAAATCAATTTTAAATACTACTGTTGTATATAGCTAAAATATTTTGGTTGGATATTTCATACAGAAGCAAAAGGTATTTATTATGATAGTATAAATAATCAGATGTATTTGAATATTAACAAGAGTTTTTAGCAGAAATGAATTAGAGAAATAGATGCTAATAATAATGTTATGATATTAATAGAATTTAATTTAAATAAAGATAATAAGAGACATATTCTGGTAATTTATAATGATTTATGCTAATAATCACAAAAAAACCTTTTAATAATCTATAAAATATCAGTCTTGTCATAAAAAAGAAGCAAGTTTAAGATTACATATCAGTGATTTTTTAATAGAAGTTGATAGTCAATTAAACTTTGAATAAAATAAAGTATATTTTACAATAAAATTAGATATTAATCGTAATAACTAGTGAAATAATAAAGATTTAATTATACAAATAATATTTATCTTTTATTATTTTAATTGATTTATTATAAAATTACTGATTGAACTTTATTAGATTATTGAAAAAAGTTTGGTTTGTGACTAATTAAAAGCATTATTCTTTTGAATAACAAGTTAAATAAAGCAATTATTTTTGAAAAATTTGATAACTCATTATTTTTTCTTTTCAAATATTTTTAAAATAGTAATAGATATGAATAACTTAATTGTTATCTTAATAGTTTAGTAAAATTAAAATCTATTAATATATTAAAATGGTAGAAATATTATGAGTAAAATTATTTTATCTTAACAATATAATTCCAATTTTTAAAAAATTATATCCTAATGAAATTAGTGTACAGTCAAACCTCTATATAACGATATGTCAGAACATATAGAAAATTTTTTAAAAATATTGTTATATCAAATTATACTGATATTTATATGAACTCAAGTATAGTGGGTAAATAACATTTTATCAGTATATAAAGTTTTTAATAGTATATCAGTATATAGAATATCGGTATATAGAGATCTGACTGTATTTGCATTTAATAATGTAGTATTCTATATTATGTATTAGAATATGTTTTAATTGCATCAAAAATGAATCTTAAACTAAGTAGTAAGGGTAAATTTAAAGATAGATTAATATCTGATAGTTTAATATAGCCAATGCATCTTTTAAATAGATAATCAAAAGAAATTCATTTAGTTTTGAAAGAATGTGAATTATGATTAGAAGTGGCTTTAAATCATATATATTTTAAATACAAAGAAGTATTTTTCAACTACAAATAATTGTTATGCAGTTTAATTACTTTATTTTAATCTGATTTTTTAGCATAAAGGCTATTAATTAGAGAGGTTATTGAAAAAAAGTGATATAAGGTTCTTTTTATCTAAAGTTTTATTGTAAACTTAACTTCATTAAAATGTTTTAAGATACTGCTAAATTTTATACATATAATAATTGTGATTATTCTTTCAAAGAATTGGAAAAATTGGAAAATAGTTTCTGAGACATTGAATTTAATTTTTTAGAAACAATCAAAAGCTATGTTTGTAAAATTTAGTGTGATACATATAGAAAGAAATTAATAAGTATAGAAATATTATATGTTATAATAAATATAGATCATATCAATAAATTTCTGATAATATAATGAACGTATAAAAAAATGAAACAAGTTACAGTATAGAATTTTGCAGTAAAAAGGAAGGAAACTCTAAAAAATTAAAATTTTACTTTTTAAGCTAATTATGATTTTTTTAGTAAAATAAGTTCAGATTTAACATTAATTCAAAAAAAATTTTTTTAGAGTTTCCTTCCTTTCTACTGCAAAGCTCCCATATTACAATTAAAATTAAATATCATTTAAATTCTTATTAGCTTGCTTAATTACGTAATTACGTTCGTATTTTTCTAAATTTGATAGATTTGATATAGTTTTTTACCCTTTTACCATTTAAACGAACTTGAAAATTTCTTAGTTCTTACCCTGAAACCTTATGAACTAAGGTGTTAAAGAATAGATTCTTAATTAAAATAACTCAAGAAGTCGCTAAACGGATATTAAAAAGATATTTTGAACGGCAAAAAAATAGATAAGCAAGCTCAAAAATATTAATAAAAGAGATATTCAAAGTATATTAAAATAAATTTAATATTCAGCCGTTCAATCGATGGATAAGTTCCGTATTGCAACTTCTGCATTAATAAAATTTTATATCAAAGTTTTAATATATATATATTTTTTTTTGTACTTAAAATCAAGATTAATTTTCTAAAATTAAACAATAGTCATTTCGATAAAACTTTAATTGACATTATTTCAAATGTGATTGTTATTATTATATGATTGTTGTTTTAATTTTCTGCTATCTTTTTCATTCGTTTATAAATATAAACTTGTGAGGACTGAGCGCTATTAAATGAATATCGTTGCGAAATCACTGCGGCTAATAAGAAACTATTCTATTGGGTAAATCGGGTAAATTACAATCCTAAAGACTTTATGCCATCTTCTTGTCAACTCGATCAACATTCCACTCTTTTTATACCTTCAATCCAATAGACAACTTGCCCAGAAGCCAAATTAACGAGAAGAAAATTTGACCTGATCTAGGTCGATCACTTACCAAATTAAGAAAACAATACATAAGTAATAAAAAAAATTGACAATGTGCTTTCTTTATTAAGTAAAATCAAAGAAAATTGTAAATGACGAAAGGAGCCATCAGTTATGCGATGTCGACATTGATCAAAGATTTCTTAGTAAACACAGTTAAAGATATTATTTGAAACCTGGTCTAACTGTTGACGAAAGTTTTGAAAATATGATGATATACCTCTCAAATTTATCATAAGTTTTGGGTCATGAATTTTAGTCAACACGACACGAACGCGTTAAGTAACATTTCATATTAATGATAATCATTTTGCTTTAGTACGATTGATTTCTGGAATCTAAAAATCGTTCGTAGATGTTTTCCCCAATGGTGTGTAGCTAAAAAGCTCAATTTTTTTCTCACATTATGAATGATTGGCCTCAATTACTACATATTTTAGGCTTACAATACCAAAATGTCAATTTTTACGAGAACTAATTGAGAATCATTAAAATCATTTCAAAAATAAAAGGAATGATAAATCTAATAGGCCGATTTACCTTGGAAATTCCTGAAATATTTCCAAATTTCGCAACAATTTAATCGAATGCCGAAGGAACTCGAATTCGGAATTATGCAGAAGGATTAAAGAAGCATGAGTGTTTAATGTATAGCTTAGAAAATTGCACATGCTCTTCTAGTTATGATCAGTCATTATATTGAATATTTTACCGTTTCCTTTCGACCTATAATGTGTCGACTCCATCGAATTAATTGATAAATACGAGAAAATAAATATGGATCAAGTTTCACTATTGACGACTTGCAGAGTTTTGTGAATAAATGACAATATGATCAACGAATACTCCCATTTTATGAAACTCTCACAAGTAGACCACTAGAAATATTGGCGGGAACTTGGGGATATTAAAATTAGTGACTATAGCATAAATAATATAATGGATGATTTACGCACAAATATTACTTACCGAATGAGACATCTTAATATCAATGAATTGGAAACTCACGAGCGGTATTGACTAAACAACTCTTAGCTTACAAACAACCTATTTCTTTTAACAATAAACACCAGATGAATTCATTCATCTCGGATTAATACGTTTTGAAAGGATAGGTTACAGTCCTATGGGATATTTAACTGCACAATATATATGGATTTGCATCATAGGACAGCAAACTACGGATTTGCTACTTCGAGATTGGCTATTCTGTGATTATAATGAACATAGATAAGGTAGATACCAACTTGCATCTTATGGTAACAAAGGGATGAAATTACATGGAATGTTAATATTCGGGAAGGTAGATATTGTGTAATAAATGGAAATTCTACATTCTTTCCTGAAAAATGATTGGGTCGTTATCAGTTACGAGATATTTTAAACGTATGATTCGAACATAAATTTAATAGCAAACAGAATTCAAGATCTATCTGACTTCTCTTTCTTCTCTCTCTCGCTTTAAAATTGCAATTTGAAATTTCCTTAAATTACGTGATATTTCCCGATAAAAATCGGTTGACCATTCAATAAAATATTACTGCGGCTGATATATTCTTATTGGCTAAACTTTCATAAAGATATACCTATGATATTTTAGCTGAAATGTACTGTAGTCTGATTTTCAAAAGGAATGATTCATTTGTTATTTTTTTTTCATAAACAAAATTATAATATTGAATTTTATTCAAATACCAGGTGATCGAACGGCTTATTTTGTTAATATAATTTAACATAATAGAAATTTATTTTCTATTTTCTATATCATTTACATAAAAAATCCCCCCAAAAATTTCAAACGTATCGTTTTTTGACCCATCAGGTGATTTTACTGTGTCGATCCTATTATAGTATATATGAGGAGGGTTAAGTCCGATACTTTTGCCTAAAAAATGGTATGTTTACGCCACTTCGATAGAAATAGTAAAATCTTATCATATTGCCAAAACAAAAAAAAAAGAAAATTATTTACGATGCGAAATATGAAGTTTCGAGTTAATTATACTTCGGATATGATGGATATGATTTAACGAAAGTTTAAATTTCGGAATCTTGATTCAGATTCGATTCTAAATAAAATAAAAGGTTTCGAGTAAAAGAAAATTTTTTGGATTCCGCCAATATTTTTTATGAGAAAAGTTTAGTTGGTTGATTCGGTTGCAGTCGGAAGATTTGAGTCCGGTTTTTCTCTCATTCGATCGTTATGTTTATGTACATATTTCTTGACAGAATTTCGTGATTTTTGATCCCTATTAATTTGGTAACGCCGTTGTAATTCGGTTTTCTCATTCTCTGATAGTTCTTTCCACTTTTCTGATACCAATTTGCTGAATCTAACCATTGTCATATTATATGGTTTATCTCTCATCATTTCTTTACGAAATAAAAGGAACATATTCGGTTCTCGCTTTCTATTCTTTTTTTCTGATTCTTTTGATGTTTCTGGTTCAAAAAAATGGAAAATTATCCTATTCTCGCTCATATTTAACAAATTTATTAATTTAGTAGGATCTTGATAAAATTACGGGACCCCATCTGTCCTGACCCTATTTATTAGAATAAATCTGGAGAATGAGGTCCGGTAACCTACCTAAACTTACGATACTCAAAGATCATGCGATTCTTCGTCATATCTTACGCCAAATGATGTTGTTTACATATCTTTGTTGCTATAAGAATTCTTTTAAAGAAGAAGTTGACGATAATTTAATCTTCGTTGGTCAAGGCTATATGCACTGTAGAATCGAGACAATGACAAGGTTGATTGATTCCATATATTTTTGATTAGATCTTATTGCATTTTTAATCTAATAACTTCAAAAATTGAATTAAATATGCTGTAAATCTCAATTTCTTTGCAATAAGAAGTATGTGCACGCCGCGATTCATGAGTTGTTGCAGTTTCCGGATGCTTTTCAGATCTTTTTTCCGGACGACTTTGTCTGTACATACCTGCACGTTTTCTGGATGTTCTTTTCATACATTGTTTAAATTTAAGCCAATTTATTGAACTCATGATCGTCCAACAATATTTAATTTACAGTAAAAAATTTATTGAACGTTTAACTACCAATAATTTCATTGATTCATTGTTCTGTTTCTAAAAAGGTATATCTCCACTCCATTATATCATGGTTTTAATTTTGATAGAGATTTGCAACAATGGATTTTATGTAACCTGAGTCAAATGACCATGGGCGGAAACTATTAAATAAGCAAAATAAAATAAAAAAAAAATATATATATATACAGTATACATTTATATATATATTTTTTTTCAATATATTTTAATAAGCGATAAATAATCTTTTTTCAAATAATAATTATAATAATAATTCTAGAAACTAAAAGTTTATTATGTAATATATTTGAAAGGTTTTATAATTGATGCAAGAATTATTTAATAACTATTAATTAATCAAGTATTGCGCACAACAGGAAATACTCAACATTCTTTCACGTGATTTACTGTGAAAGGTTAGAATATGATAAAAATTTGTCATTGTTTACATTAAATCACTTTATGTCGTAATTTAATGATATATAACAATGAAACTTCATTGATCAATAACGAATAAAAAATTTTTTTAATTAAATTTGTGACCTTCGTACGTACAGTTAACGAATTTTTGATAGTGGACTGTCAATATTTATTAAGAATATGTTGCATTTATAAATATATGTCTAAAAAATAGTATGCAAAAAATTTTGAACTAATTAGTGTATAACACTTGATATTCTATATAGTTAAACGAAAAATTTATATTTAGGAATAAATTTTATTTTATGATTTTTATATTCAAAATATAAAATATTTAAATCATTCAAATAATATAAGTATTATAAACCACTAAATTGTGTTCTTTAATTTCCTATTAGATAAAAATATTCCTTACATCAATATTTCCAACCAAATTGACCTTTCATATTCAGAATAAGAGTCTGATTTAACTTTGATTTAAGAAAAGTACTGTATTTAGAATCAAATGTCTTCTGAGATCCGAAAATTTTTGATTCTTTATAACGAACTAAAATGATATCATTCCATAGGATTTATCATTTAAACTCACTAAATAGAGTGTAAGTGAATTTCGGAAACCAAGGTCAGTCAAATGCCTTGAAACAGTTGAGCGGAGAGACATCTACTCCTATATCTTTTAATTTATCAACAAACCCAACAGAAATTGAAGGTTGCATTTGGATGTATGGTACAATGCCTGGGATAAACTTGTCGTTATTTTTTTACATCCTCGATAGCTAAGGTTTCGACGGATGATACTAATTGGAATCTTTGTCAAACTTTGTATTTCAATAGCATTTCGTATTCCTTACTTCCAGAAATGTAATGAGGTCTTTTTGATGCACAGTAGGTTTATATTTATTAACAATGGAAATACTAATCTAAAACTGTCGGATCAGAATTACAATTTTGATATTGTTACAATAAATGCAAAGGGTAAACTAAAATGCTATTCTAATTTTTATTATCTAGGAACACACCCTTTAGCGGCTGTTGGTCACTATTATTCTAGTTAAATTTAGGGCACAATGCCCCGAATTCATTATATTAGTAATCATAACAATATGGTTTTTGTTAAAGTGTGGCTGAATAGTGACAGAATGAACATTTGCATATTTATTTATTCAAACAAAAATGGTGCCAGTTACACAAACTTATTCAACCATTAATACAATGAATGTCTTTGAAGATTGATTTTACGTTGCTCTAGTAAATTATTTTTGTATTCGATTATTACATCGATAGTTTTTGAGTTAATTGTTTTAATAGGATTTAGTTTTTATTTAGTCAGCCATCGACCATTTATACAGTAGATATAGTTTTAAGTATTAATTGGTCAAACCGTCGATTCATTCATTTAAAGACACGGCAAATACCGATAATTGGTAATGTAAATTTGGTTATGCTTTAAAAACATTTATACAATAACACAGGCGTTTTGCAATCGTTATTGTGTGGAGTGGTATTTTAAAAAGTCAAGTTTCATCTGAATCAGCTTAGCATCGTTACGTATCAAATGATTTTCTTTATCACGTATCTCGGTATCTTAATTTTTAAATTGTAATTTATTAAATGTGATGTTAAGAGACCGTAAATTCTTTTTTTATACACTATTTGTTTATCATGAAAAAAAGAACGTTCAGAACGTTGGCACCATCGTTTATTGTAATGAAAATTGATGTTTAGGATTATCATTCATTGGTAAGACTTGCCTTGCCGTCTTTGGTGCTATCCGATCAAAGATCCTTAACCGGTTAATAACCGGTTAAATAATTCTTTAACCAGTTAATTAACTGGGATAAATTTAATTCAGGCCGGCACTATAAATTTGGGCAAGTTTGTAATCACAAAAAATTTTAATTCTGCCCGAAAATTAAATAATAATTTAACCGGTTTAAAAAATCTTTATCCGGTTAACAAGATAAACATCTTAACTGGTTAATTAACCGGTTAAAAATCAACCGGTTCCAAACTCTAATATATGTTTATGAGTTATAAATAAATGCCGAACATTATTAATTTGTTTCAAGAAATTTCTTTTATTTTTAAAAAAACAAAATTAATTTACAAGTACAAAAGGATTTGTTTAAATAAATTTATTTTCATTCATTTGATATTCTGTATCTCAGTGAAGGTATATCACAAGGTCATTTATTATTATTTCAAAGTATCTTATCATTCAGACTTGAAATTTCCTGTGATTAATATGCATAAATCAAAGTTCACCACATAGGAATTGTAATATAGCGGAACAACGTCGTCTTGAATGTAGTAATTGAATTCAGGTTTCCCTCCTATCAATGTATTTTATGAATGCGTTGTATATATAGAAAAGTACCTTATATTTTATATTGAGTTGATTATTTATTTGCATTACGGTAACGGGTTATTAGATTTATACAAACCTTCTTTATAGATTTAAAATATCGTAAGTTAATATTATTTTCAACACTTAATGATGACATTAATAAAATAATTTTTATACTAAAATATTTCTTCGACATAAAAAATTCTCTGAGTTAAATATTTGTTTAGTAAAATTACAAAATCGTCAAAAAGAAACGCAAACATTGAATATTCAAATTCAAAGATGATTTTTCCCACCATTGATTGTGTTCACATATTTTGTGATCAAATTATTATATAATATATATTCTAATTGGTTAAGTTTTTTTATGATGCGACAAAAAGTAACATTAATCAAATTAGGTTTAATATATACTCCAATTGGTTAAGTTTTTTATGCGATGTGACAAAAGTAACATTAATCAACAAAAAACTGGTAATTAAATGAAATTTAATAATAAATATTTGCATAAATTTAATTAGCATTATCTTATTAATTCAAGATTTAAATTTTTGATTGGGTAGAAATATTTACAGTGCGTAACATTTTTTCGATCATAATTTATTGAGTAATATTTGAAAAGTCAAGAAATAATAATTCCCCCAAAAATATTATAAAAATAATTACAAAATGTTTATGCGTAATGGTGTGGCGTGATGTGCGGATTGTTGATAAGGGGGCAGAGGAATATAGCTGCTTAAATAATCTTGACGCCTAATAAATATTTGGCGTTTGAAGGCGCCAAATAAATATTTGTTGCTTTATCAGACAATATTTTTATTTCTAAACTTTTGTCAATTTTAAAGTGAGTACAATTATCGAGTTAATGTCCCGATTAATTACTACCTCGCTTTATTTTTTTAAAAAAAAAAGACTCAGCGAAGTCGTGGGAAATTTGCAATAAAGAGAAGAAACTGCAGGAAAAACGATTAATCAATTCTATTCATTTTAGAATTGATTTCAATCCCTATCAATAGAGTATAATTGTATAAGTTTGATAGGTTTATATAGATAATATAAGTTATTTAAGCTTAAATCCACAATTATTAGAGATTTTCGAAGTAGGTAATAAAATAGTTAAAAGTAAGTTTATATTTTATTGATTTTAGATTATTTATTTTTTTTATTGAAACTATTTTGAAATTTCAATTTTTAACATAAAATAAATTTTTTTTTTTCAGCTGAATAATATATTTAAACTTAGAGGAATAAGAATTTTAATGAAATTAATAATTGTAAAATTTTAAATTCTTTAATTTCTTTTATGAACCGCGTTACTATAAATCTTCTCATCTTATTCTGTTATACATAATTTGTAGTAGTATAAATATTTTTATATATTAACACGAAAATGGTATAATTTGATCAATAAATAAGTAGGCGTTTTTTCTTTATGTTCTCTTTTTTTTCTTTATAGAATTCTATTTTTTACAATAGAAATATTTTTGTTATATTGTTCTACAAAAAAATTACTTCTTTTTATTTATTTATTAATATTAATAAAGGAAAGTGTGCTGATAATATTGATTAGTCTTATATAAGACCTTTTATAAGGGGAAATAATGATGCCCGAAAATCATATTTGGCACATAAAAGGTACAAAAGTAGGAACTTTGGTTCAGGGAAAAAATGATTTCTTCGTAAATTTGATTATTTTCTGCAGTTTTCTATTGCAAATAAGGTAGTAATGCCATTTGCTTATGCATATGCTTTGTACCAATTTATTTATTTTTTTTTTTTTGCTTAACAAAAAAAAATAAGGGTTGAAAATTTATTGCCTAAATCTGGAAAAAAAAGAATAAAAATTGGTTAACCTTATTTTTATGTTACTACGTTTAAGCTTAGAAGGAAGTCAATGAATTCCTTTTCGGTTTGGAATGAATACGGATTATTTTTATTTAGCTTTTGGAATGAATCCAAAACAAAATAATTTTTTTATTTAATTTTTCTCTTTTAGTCGAATATTTTGGGGAAATTTATTTATTTATTTATTTTCCTTTTTTTTCAATTCCTTCTTCGTCGTCGGTCGGTCTGAATGGCGGCGGTGTGAGGTAGTAGTTTGACGATCAATTTTTCTAAATTTCATCGCGAATAGGCCATTTCCAACTTTACTTAATTGATTTGGATTGTATAACCTTACTTTTTAAGAATTAAAGCGATGATTTTAGATAGAATTTATATATGTAATAACGAAGCGAGTGAGACAGTAATATTTCTTCATTTCTTAATAAATCATTTAAAAACATAAATCTTCTTTTGACCTCATATAATACAAGAAGAGTCTTTACTATAAAACAATCGACATTTAATGGTTCGTACAAATTTTTTTTTTCCATTCATTTCTACTACCAAAGCGTTTCTTATAGATTAACTAATGTGTGTTTAAACTTTATTTATATAGTCTGAATTATATAAGTAGACATTATATTAATTGTGAAAAGATTAAATTGTCCATTTGACTATTTCACACGCCAGACCACAATACAAATATTTGTGCAAAATGCTTCAAAAGTTTGTGTGCAGTTCGGCAGTTCCTTCATTGCAAACATTTAATAAAGGAACAGCCTTGTCCTTGAAAGTAAATGAATATATAAATGAAAAGTACTTTTTTACACATCAAATAAAGTCAAAAATAATGACATGCATACATACAAAGTCCACTGTTCCACATAAGGAACGTGTCGTATTATCGAAAATAGTTTTAACGTTGAAAATTTTATGAAAGGTAAAAATCGAAAGTAAATGAATTTACTAAATTTAGTGCGGTCAATAAGATGTTCGCAATATTTAATTCATAGTTCCAATCCAATCGGTATGAACTCATTTTGTTCCTCCGTAGGAATGAATGTCATTTATAGGAGTTGTCCAAGTAAGTATACTCCAGTAAAAGATTTATAAAAGCGACGTGAATTTTAGCTAAAAGCAACCATCGTTAATTTTTCTTAATAATGGTTAATTATATAAAAAAATTTTATTTTATTGAACCAAAAACACCAAAAGCAATCAACGATAAAAAGAAGAAAAGAACCCCTAATATGTTCATACTATATCGTAAAGAAATGATGAAATATAAACCTTACAATATGCAGATGACAAAATACAGTAAACTTGTATCAGAAAAGTGGAAGGAACTATCAGAAGTTGAAAAAAACGAATTACAAAGACGTTATCAAATCAAACGAGATCAGAAAATGGTTAATGAGTATGATAATGGAGAAAGTCCAATAAATTATCCTTTATCTTTATTAGAAGGTAAAAATAATGCTAAACATGACATGAATTGGGTTAAATCCAATGCTGATCAAAATTCTAATCAGATAACAACTGATAAAACAAAACCTCATAAATTGTTTTCTCTTTGAAATTTTTAAAATAATCGAAATCTTTTGGGATACTTTTTTCATTTCGTAAAATGAATAAAAGAACAATTGGCACTTTTTGTTACCTGGACAATTTTTGTGTTTGCTCGAAAATATTGGCAATAATTTTCATCACTGATTAATTTTGTTATCTATTTATTATACAATATGTACGATGTTTAATATTTTTTTTGAATGCTATGATATGATTAAGAAATAATAAGATAAGATATTTAATTATAGAATAAATAATTATTTTGAGATTTTTATCTTTTATTGATACTACTTGATAAATAATAGATTATTGTACATTAGCCAAGTGATTTAATCAAGACAAAAATAGTTTTCATTTTATTTATCTCTTTATTGTTATTATATACAGTAAATAAATTAAAAAAATTTACACTAATTAAGAAATTACAATAAAGTTTGATCTGCATAATGAGAAAGTTCTCAATGAACAATCATTTGATATTAAAATGAAACCTCTCTAACTAAATCAAATATTCTCTCTATATTCATTGTTATGGAAAGTACCTTTTTTTATTAAGCGCTCGACTTTATGATTTCGATAATCTAAGAATAACCCCCTTCTATTTTCACTAATTTCAATAGATTTCAATAATCAAACAAACAACAATGCAATGCTACGCTTTACAAACTGATAATGTCGATATTTGCAGCAAATGTAGCGAAGTTATGTACCTAGTACTGCAAGGTCAAGATTTAGACAATTGAATAAATTTTTTCATATGGAACTTAGCCATGATTTGTTAGTAACATTTTGTTCAACTATTGATAAATGAAATATTTATTTATTCATGTTGCTATTCGTAAAATCGAATTTAAAAAAAAACTCTATTTTTTAATTTTAGCGCAAGTGATATTTTCGTTAAAAGACTTTCGTTAAAGCAAGGCCATTATTAAATCATTTATAATATAGGAAGTCATCGTACAAATGTTTGTGATTTTGTTGCTTATAAATCAATAAAACAAACACAAAGGCTAAAAAAAATGTTTTTAAATTTCAATTTTAAAACCTCGCAATACTTTAAATCAAACAGTAAAAAAAATTTTTAAGCAATATATAGCTAATATGTTGATAAAAAAAATATAGCCAAGTTACTTACGAACAATTTGTACAATTATCTAAATCTAGATTGAGCAATACTTTTTTGTCTCCCGGTAAGTTTTATTATAAAAATAATTTTTTTTTCGTTTCTTCTATGGTTATTAAAATTATATGAAAAGAAATGTTTTTATTTCGTTTTGGAAAAATTAATATGCTAACATGTCAAAGACAACAATGGGAATGTGAAAATAATTGATTTGACCAATATATTATTTAGCCATAATCTTTTGTTTCAATGTCAACAACAAATGAGCTTTGTTATTAATCACGACTTTTAAGTTTATTTTTTAAAGAAAAATAAAAAAATTTTTTCAATTCAAGTCTGATTTATAAATAAATAGACGTCTAAATTTGCTTAAGATTTATGAAATAAGATTTCGAAGTTAGATAATAAAGAAAAGCAAGTCGGATGGTAACGGTCGGTCAAAGGCCTTTGACGAATAACTTCTTGATATGCAACGGCCCATAGTACCCGGGTATTTTCAAGTTCGGAGGATGTATGTCTATAACTTTATAAAAGCTTGTATAAAAATCAGAAAATTATATATGTGCAATTTAATTACTTTTCGGGCAAATAAGGGATACTGTAAATGGGGGTACTATGCCCCGTAATATACGGTTATATAGTTTTTTTTAAAAAAATAAAATTTTTTACCTTACATCATTAAATAAAAAAATATTTGAGAAAATATTCGGTGGTATAACTTTTCTAGGCTTATTTAAATGATATGTGCGTATAGTTGCTGGTTTAATAAATGGCAAAAGTCCAAGTTTCATAATTTGGGCCACCATTTAATTTAATTTTTTCATAAATCCTTTTACAAAAAATTTTTATCTCGCTGAAAAAAATTTAAAAACCTAGCACTTACTGATTTACATATTAACAATAAATAAAATGCCAAAGATTATCAAAAAGCTCAATAGAATACAGAAAGCCATTTGAGGAAGCTTAACTTAAACGATAAAATTATGAATGGTGAAACTTTAGAAATTGCACGCCAAATTATTTCTCTGGAGCTAATTAATAAAAACCAATTTTATGTAACGTGAAAATCTGCAATATTAAAAACCGCTATAGTTTGCTGATATAGTTTCGATTAATTAGTTTGTGCACACTACCCCTAACAATTGAAAGTTTCGGGACAAATCTCACAATAACGTTGAAAAAATCAATAAAATCGTCGAAATTCAAAATGATATATTTCAGCTACACTTTTTTACTATATTGCGATAAATAATAAATTGAGAGCAAAGAACGCCTTTGACTTATCTTATAAAGGATTAATAATAAGCTGTCATCACTTTAATGGAATTCGCAAACAAAAAAATTATTTTGTTATTCCAACATCTAAATATAATAATAATGATCGAAGTTTTCTTTAAGTTCGATCATACTAGCTTATAAGAGGCTTAGTAGGATCTTCAAACTTTCGATGGTAGCTTTCTCTTGAAAACGATAAGAAATTGTCTTTTTACACGAACACCAGCTGGGCCAAAGTGGAGTTTCGGAATAAAAGCAAGCTAAATTAGTTCACTGAAGTACACAGTTATTTAATGGGTTAAAAATACATCATGAAATCAGGAACAAAAGTACTGACGAATAATGGAGGTGGAGGAGAATGGAAAATAATATAACAGGCCACAGAAATATGGAAGGCATCGTTAGAAAATCGCAAAAATATATTAAGGAAGACGACATTAAGGAACTTCCCCGGTCTTACGTCTTGTTAAGATTCTAGTTGAATGGAAGTATGATATCAAATGTACCAATATAGTAATTTTCATCAAAAGTGATCACCATTGCTATTATCGTTATAGTATAGTGTAATTCAAAAAAGTGGTATAAATGCAGATCACGGCAAATTATTACTAAAATAATATTCTCACGGGATACGATAACGTGATAGATAAATGATATTATTCTCGATCTAGCATTATCGATGATTTTGTATTTGGAGGTGACCATTACAGCATTACCTTATCATCACTGTCTTACACTTTAAATTAAAATGAATAATTTAAATGATACTTCAATTTTATTGTTGTTTATCCATAAACAAATACATTTTTGATCTTTTATATATCTACCTTCATTTTATGATTAATCAAAATATTAATGAGATGTATATATTAAACTAGTTACATATTGTTTATCTAAAGAGCAATGATACGTTACACATATGATATTCAAATGATAATGTCGATGTTATTTTTTTCACGAGAAAATTTTTCAGCATTTGTAATGATGTATGTAAAATAAATAATTTTTATGCCTTTTATATAATTACGAAAAACTTTTAATGATTTATTTAAAAAGAAATAATAAATGAATATGAGGACCATATTTCTTATGACGATCTTTTATGCCGCTTTTTGGAAACAATAGAAAATCATATGCTACATATGTGGACTAATGAGACTAATGAAAGATAAATGACATAAATGACATACAATGGAGTGTAAAATTAATTGTTATTCTAACCATTGTTAATAAAAAACATAATTGGACCAACACAAAATTTATCCACATTGTTAGATTTATATGATAAATAATTTTAATTATTCTTTTATTCATTTATAGTCTCTTTCATTTTTTTATCAATTGATTTATTGATTTAGTACAAATAGGTTTAGTCTAAATCATTGAAATCAAAAATGGAAAGATCATCACAAATCGTTAAAAAATCCAATGACAATTCGTCGAATTCTTAAAAGACAAAATTAAAAAGTCATTTGGAATCAATTTATTTATTATATTCGTAAACATAAAAATTTGAAAAATTATGCAGCCCGACTTTTTTATTGCTTTGTAATTCTCAATTACCATAATTTAAATGTGAAATCGTCAGGTTTTTATTGATTGTTTCAACAGAACATTGCGCCACAAAATTGTTATTTATTTAATTATGATTTATCAAACAAATAGATTTCTGCTTACGTTAATACCATCGTAATAAAATCGTTAATGTTAATATTAACCGCTTTCGTTGAGGCAATTGACGGATAATTGAGTTGAATATTGTTGAGCCATGATAAATTCTGGAGTCGGCTCAGACCTTTTTCGGTCGACTCAGCCGTTTGACAGAGTCGCTCTCATTTGAAATTAGAAAGCAATAATACGCATTATTAGTTTCTTTATATTTAACAAAAATTTTTTAAAATTGAAAAAAAGTAGATAACTTTTCACCAGAACGAAATAAAGTTGTCAGAATCCTATTCAGCTAAAAATTTTAAACTTTTTTATTTGAAAATTTTGCGAAGTTCTGACATTATATAAAATTTAGAATAAGCGACTAAGGGCGTTCTCAAACATTTCATTGGTTTATAAATGATCTGATTGGCTAAAAAAGTAAAGCAGATTTGTCATTTAGGTCAATAAAACCGGGAGCTAAAAACCATCTTTTTTTTTTGATAGAGCTGTGCAGATTGGCTAAAATTTGTCAAAAGAGATCGTTCAAACAAACTCATTCATTTTTTACACTATGGATCTTCAACGGGTTCAACGGGACCATAACCATCATAAATTGATTATATTAGAAACCTTATAGCAAATAAATGTTGGGATGTTCAAATGCAAAAAAATGAACAATATTTATCATCCTCCAACTCTTATAACAATAAAGATTATTCCATTTATTCTTTCTTGATCATGAAGAAAGGGTTGTGAGACTGATTCTTTATAACTTGCTTGTTTCATTTAAAGGGTTCGTAAGAGGAGAATTTAGTTGTCGTTGTTGCAACGATCAATTACTTGTTAAATTGATAAAAGGAGCTGGAACTATTATTCTGCGAGCTATTTTGATATTTTTTTATTGAGACATGATAAAATTGAAAGATAAAGAGAGTTTGATCAAGTGATCTTCATATTTAAATTGATCTTTTTACATTGAGAAAGGTGCTTGAGAATCATTTGAAAATTCCGGAGTCTACTCTACTTGGTTTTTACATAGTCGACTCAGCCATCAACTCCGACTCCAATAGCTATCCGACGGTTTCTTATAATATACTAATCTAATGACTTTGTTACTTTCATTTATTTACCTAATTTAGATCATATAATGAACTCATATGGCTCATTCTCACGCACGCACATGAAAGGTAAAAGTCCGGATGAATATAATGTTTTGAAATCAAAGTTTGTAATATAATCAGTCAAATTTTATAATCGAAAACAGAAACGCTGAAAGAAGAAGAATTAGTCATAAAGGCTTACGGAAAATGATTGCCGAAAAAACCATTTTTCATCCGATTTGTAATTATTGAAACCGTATACCGTATACACAATTCCGAATCAAATTGTATAAATATAAGTAAAAAAATAAGTTTGTCAAGGAAAATTTTCGTTGATATTATTTGCCTCCCACTATTTATCATTATTTCAATTTTCAGTAATGGTTAATAATCAAATATCTTTCCATTTTTTCGATCCTAAAACTTCAAAAGCATCAGAAGAGAAACCAAAGAAAAGAAAACCCAATATGTTTATTTTATTTCGAAATGAAATGATGAATTATAAACCGAAAAACATGCAAATGACTGAATACAGCAAGCTGGTATCAAAATGGTGGAAAGATTTGCCAATAGATGATAAAACCGAACTACAAAGGCGATATCAAATTAACCGGGATCAAAATTGACAAAAAACGTGGAAAAAACTAATTTGGAAAGAAAAAGGTCGAATAGATCGAAATCAACAAAGTACAAAAACCTAAAAAAAAAAAAATAAGTTGAATCGAGACTTATTTATTATTAAATTTGCAAAATCATTTCTTTTCATTTATCCGAAATGATTTTTATTATAATCATTTTTTTTTTTTTTGTTCCTTTTTTCTATAACTACAAACATTATTTTATTCAACTTACAGTCGACACTCTCTATAACGAACTGACGTTTCCGTTAAAAACAAAAGTTCAAAAAGTTCAAATTTCAGTCAGAACTCGATATAGCAACCCCCCAGTTTACTATGAAATTTTTTAAAAAACTCGATTTATCAAAATTTATAAGTTCTATATAAAAATTTTTAAAAAAATCGTTTTAGCAAGATTTTATTAAGTGATCGTTATATCGAGAATCGTTATATCGAGTTCTGACTGTACTATCTATGTTTCTGTATGAACCATTATACTCTTTATAATGAATTATTATTAAAATTTAAAAATTTATGAGTTCGTTATTTCCAGAGTTCGCTATAAAGAGATTCTTTATAACCAGTTTTGACTGTATTTTTTTTTTTTTTTTTTTTTTTGTAAAAGATCTTTTTTGATATAAAATTTGTAATATTGCGTCATCAATATTTACCAGAAACTTCTTTCGGATTAATAATGAGGTGGGGGCTTATCTTGTTACACAACTATATTGAAATACAATTAGACAAATATGCCAGACAAATTTTTACGAAATTCTTTTTTTTAAAAAAATAAACTTAATCTGATACTTCAAAATTATATATGAAGGTATATTTTGCTCGCTCTGTAAGTTTGCTTAAAAGTCAAAGAAGGTTTTGGCGTTGAAATGCGCCACAAACGCCAATGTCGATCACAAGCCCAGTATACAATATATCGCGTAAACCCATGTATGAATTATTTTTTATACCGCATATGACCTTTGTAATAGAACGGGGATCGCTTATATGTCATCAATTAAAGCGTTATTATTACCTTTAAGCACTTTTTTTCATTAGCGTTCAAGAATTTGATCTGTTATTAATTGCAATTTATAGTGTAATCTACATTGCTTAGTAGAAAGTTCCGGAAATATCTATTTTGGGCAATATACAAGATATACAGTACAATCAATATAAATACATTATTCAATTTATTTGGTCACAAAAATTACAAAGTATGATTAGGCTTATTTTTCAAGTTAGGATCGATCGGATAATGTCCGCGTACATTAATTATTATTGATTTGTCACAATTTATACTTTTCATAATTTGAAATTTATGTCGAAAGCTGATTTCAGTTAAAACTGACTGCCCTTATTTCACAAATTTGGATAATTATTATATTATATGGTTTTGGCTTATTAGACTAACAAAAAAGTGCCAACATTAATAATTAATCAGCCGTTCTTCACAACGCCCAGAACAATATGAAAATTACTCAAAATTATCGACCCCGGCTTTTAATTTGTAAAATAAACCTATTTTTTACCTAGAAATCTTAGTTAAGTAAACGGAATAACCCGATCCATATAAATTTCCAAAGTAACCATTTTTCTTTCAAATGTTTTTGTTTTCCAATTTCACATTTGATTATTATAGTAATATATATATTTATAAAAACACAATTAAATGTTCGATCCAATTTTTTTTTTTTTTTGCAACGCAAAGAAAACCTAAACAATGAGTGATAAGGAAATTACATTTTATTTTGTTGAGCCTGAAACGTCAGAAACCCTCGAAAAGAAGAACAGAAAACGAGAGCCAAATATGTTCATCTCATATCGTAAAGAAAGGATGAAAGGTCGACCACATAATATAACAATGACCGAATTCAGTAAAATCGTGTCGGAAGAGTGGAAAAAGCTATCAGAAGAAGAAAAAGCTAAATGGCAAAGAAAGTATCATATTAATCGAGATCAAAAAGTTACAACAAAAGGCAAGTAAGTGAAAGATCTATTATTGTAATTACTGACGTGAACAAATAATAAATTTCCTATAAATTATATTGTCGTAGAATGCACAGAATGGTCAAAGGATGAAAAAATAAATTGCAAAGAATAATGGATTCGACGCTTACTTTTCTACGAAAAATTTTAACTTATACGCCGCCGTATCACTTTTTCATATTCGCTATCTTGGATTGTGGAAAATTTTTTTCTCATTTTTTTTTCTCAATAGAAATATAAATGATAGAAATTAAATTATTAAATTCCACATAGATTATTTTCTTCCTGTTTTGTAAATTTGTCTACTTTTAACGCGTTGGACCTTTTTCATCTATTTTAGATCATGTAAGGATATGCTCAGTAATTCTAATTAGAAGATGAAGGAGTAATTTAACTTTTAATTTCAATATTTTTAATTAATAAATAATAATTTAATTTATAAAGTTAATAAGTAAATAAAAAAAGGACAAGGCTGCCGTAATGAACTGTGTCGACTTCGATTAGTACGAATTACGAATATGGATTAATTTCAACAGTTAGCCATTTAAAGTTAACGTTATTGTTAAAAGTATTCAAAAAGCAACTTTTTTCTTTATATTATGTAGCTTCATAATTGTAATATAAAATATCTTTATTTTATTATTATAGTTCAACTTTCGATATTTTTAATTAATTTTGTGCATACTTCTTCATGTCCATCTTCATATAAATGAGCGGAGATGTTTAAATCAGGACATAAAATGCGATAAAACTAACGCTATTTAGTAAAATTTGTAAAAAGATTTATTAAAAAATATTCAGGAGGTACCTTCATCACATTTATATTATTATTAGATTAATAATAATGATAGAAAATACACACGTATCACACTCTTTATATACAGCGCGTGGATCATTCCTGATTATAAAGAGGGAGCAGTATCTAAATGCATTGGCTAACGCTAAGGAACGAAAAAGATGAGTAATACAATATAAAATTATTAAAATCACCTTACGGGTCTTATCCGTGCCGTGATTTTAGCCGATCTAATTATAGCCGAAATAATTTCGGCCGGAGTTTTAATATATGAACTGACTGAACAAGTTAATTAAATAACATTTCTTGTGGAAATATTATATTTAGTGAAATAAAATTTGCCCCCAATTTTTTTTTTTACATTTTAAATCCATTTTATATCAATTATTATAGGCAAAGACGCCAAATTGCAGTGACATCATGTATCACCTCCTTGTTTCACGTCGTCTTAAATGCGCAAAAACGATAAATTGAAACGCATAATGGAGTCCGCATCAATTACAAATGTATTATTTACTATGTATGACTTAATAACTAAACTAAGTGTTAGTACAAAAAATCATCTTAATCACCTGAGATTCTATTGATCTTAAATACGCTTCTTAACTTTAAAATACAATATGCTAATTAAAGAATTAAGTTGAACATAATCACAAATGATTTGTCTTAAGTTTTTTTCTTGTAAATTTTCATATTAATTATTGATAATTTTTATTCAATAAACTAATATAACTGGTTAATGAAAATCGGTCAAAAAATTAAATTAAATAATTTAATAATTTGTTGTTATCAAAAAGATAGTTATCAAATAAAGCCTCATAATCACAAAATCACAGATTAAAAATTGCTTTTAATATTTAATAGACAGTAACGGAAACATAAAAAAAAACACAAAGTGTATGTATGGTACAGCTATTTTTGAAATGACCTTTAAATGACCTTTAAATGACCTGGTCATTTAAGGTCATTTACAATATTGGCCAAATTTAATCTTAATGTAAAGTTAAAGTTAGAATTAAGATAGTAATTATATATTAACACGAATTATAAGTTCACATGATATAATTTCAAAAAACTCGAGTCATGTGACTTATATAATAATCTGTCACAACATCACGTTTCATTTTTTACTATTTTAATTTCTTTTAGGTGTGAAATCCTATTTGTCACTCGTTATTTGTCACAGACGCCACATTAGGGTCAGGTAAGTTTACAACTCCCCCAGCATTACCGATAAAAATGCTCGGGCATGTGATTTGTAGCGAATAGTTTTACACGCAAAAAAATTGTTTCCAACATATTTTGTGACACCGATCGGTGACAATTTAATTGTCACGAATCATATGAATTCACATGCCTAAGCTTTTTTTTCGTGTATGTCTCGTGACTTGGCGTTGAGAGCGAAATGTATTTTTATCATAATTAATTTATTTTTAACAATTAAAATTCATTATTAAAAAATCATTATTAATGACAAACCAGATCTAAATAACAGATAATCATTTTTAAAATCAGTTTGTTTTGTATTTATTTTCTAATACTTTTTTATATATCAATGCATTTTTTTCATTATTAATGACATGGACAAGAAATTAAAAGTTAAACTAAAATTTGCTTTTAGAATATGATAAAAGTAAATTATTACAAATGTTCCAAATTATTCGCACCGTCTTTATTATAGGACTACCGTCTTGTTTATCATGTTGAGAATATAACAAACAACTTATTTCCAAAGTCAGATTTGCGGATTTATTTGACGGATCGGAGCAAAATGGAGGATTTAATTTTAGAATTAAAATTTTATCATTTAATTATAAATTTAGACAAACGTTTATTCATCATGTAAGAATTTTCTATGCTTAACAACTTTTGATTTTTACATTTCCATTTAATCACCATTTATTTTACATTTCTGTTTGGTATATTTTAAAAAATGGTCATTCGGTCGGTTCCGATTGTAAAATTAAATTTTTATTTGTTAACAAAGGGTCACGTGACTGACGATCCCAGTTTAATTGAAATTTAACGTATTGATTGTTAAAATCAACTTCCAAATGAATAATAGATTTAATAGGTATTGTTTATTAAGTTATATTAAATTTTTAAGTAAATCATATATTAAATCCTGAAAATACAATCATTGGTGGGATTCAAAATCCGTGGTTTTTAATTAAAAGGGCAAAATAGATCAATCTATGTGGATAAGCGGGAAACAATCTGTCAAAGAAATCGGCTTACCTCATTCACATCATCCAGAATTTTAGAATTCTTTCATTTTGTTTAATAGTTATAATGTGAAGAAATAATTTTTACTTCCTTGTTTATAAATGAAGGTTCATTGTTTATATCCATATGAATCATTAAATACGTTCTTTGTGATCTTTTTTTAAAACTTTATCCACAAAATTTATATAAATAGTTCTTGAAATTTACATGATATGCCCATCTCGTCTTTTAAATATTTCGTTGATCATGAGTGATAACATAAATAAGTTCTATTTCGTCGAACCTAAAACTTCAAAAGCATCAGAAGAGAAACCAAAGAAAAGAAAACCCAATATGTTTATTTTATTTCGAAATGAAATGATGAATTATAAACCGATAAACATGCAAATGACTGAATACAGCAAGCTGGTCTCAAAATGGTGGAAAGAATTGCCAATCGATGATAAAACCGAACTACAAAGGCGATATCAAATAAACCGTGATCAAAGATCACAAAACACGGTCAGTGAATGTGCAACTGTCGATCCGTATATTCGATTTGATGCAGCCAATGGTGAAAACCTTGAAAGGCAAGAAGTTGCGATATTTCCATCTCCGTATCCTAAGATTATGAAGAATGATTTTTATTTGCCGTCTATGCCACAATAAAATTTTCATTTTATTTTACAAATTTTTATGTTTCTTATTTTCTTAGTTTATTCACTCTTTACTCGAACTAATTCTCCTTTTTCTTTCTTTATTCGAAATCATTGTCTTTATTCGTTCGTATTCGCAATCTTTTTCTCTTCGATCATTTCTTTTATCATTTTCGTTAGCTATTTTTTTCTCATTAGTTTCAAAACTTCGAATTCGTGCTGTTCTTTTCGTGGTTATTTTTACTGTATTCGTATACGTTCTTTTTTCCATATCTCTTTATTCGTAATCGATTTCGTATTTATCTTTATATTGCGTAGCATTCGAATGGATTTGTTTTTGCTATTTATTTTTCGATTTTCGTATTATCCGATTTGACACTTTTATTGAAATAAATTATGATAAGAATAAGAAAAATTACCAGTTTGTTGATCATAAATAATACACGCAGACTTTTCTTAAAACAAATGATTTGCGGAACTTCTTTGTTTTAAAGTCTATTAAACATTAATTATATCACCAGATGTCTGTAAATCAATTTCAAATTTTTTATTAATTAAGTGTCTAATTCATGTTTATGGCATTATATCATCACGTTACTCTTTTTTTATTGTATTAACAAATTTATATGGTTATTTTAAAATTAAAGTTCAGATCAATCTTCCATATAGGAAAATTCAGGAATATATCACGTGAATTATTATATTTGAACTTTTCAAAGAAAATAAGTTGGTACAACAATATTCAAGAAATAAAATCTGCATTTCATTTATGATTTTGTGATACTTGATTTTTTATTTTTATTTTTCCAAATAATCATTAATATCGATCAAAAAAAAAATATAACTCCATGTATAAAAAATACTAAAAAATACGTCATATTCAATAATAAAAATCTATTATAGTAATCTAACCTATTTTCATTTTGAAATTATATTGGCGTCATATGCATTGCATTAGGCCAACTTGTGTAACAATATAATCGGAAAAAAAATTTTGTTTAAAAGCGGCGTAAAATATCATTTATTGACAAAGCATCGGCATGGAGATTTTTGATATGACAAAAAGGGTTAGAAAAAACTTGGCTTGATACAGATAATAAACCCACTAAATCAAATATTGTTTTTCACACTCAGTTGCATTAAGTAATGTATATTTTCCCTAGATAAATTGCATTAAATGCTCTTTAAAAAATCTTTAAACGTAAGTTTAACTTTCTTTGATTTAAATTCGAGTAATTTCACCAAGTTCTAAAGAAACTGCTCCTTTAATTTCACCTTTTCCTAATCTTGTATTTTAATTTAACTCAAAAAAATGAATATTTCTTTATTTGAACTCTAATGTTTCATTTGTTTGAATATGTAAAAACATGAAAGGAGAAAAAAAACGAGGAGTAATTCATATGATCCGTAACGTGATTTTAAGGAAATTTTAATTTTGTAAATATTGCCCCTAATAAATTATTTTTTTCTTTATTTTATTCATACATAGAAAATCTTATATGTGTAGAATATTAAAAAAAAAGATTGATATTATTAATCTAATCATTTCCGGAGATACCCAATCTCTAACCTTTAGTGTATTTTAAAAATTTTAATTTTTCCTAAAATCTATTTGTAATGACTACTCAAGACTTCTAAAAATATCTAATAAATTATATGTAATTATAATTTTATCGATCAGGGTCTCTTCAAATCTAAGAACTTATTGTATATAAATATTCGTTGAATATCTTAGTATTTCTCAAATCATGAGTAATAATAAAAATGACTTTTAATCTTTATTTTTTTGAACCCGAGATATCAAATGCATCAGAAAAGGATGGTAGTCCTAAGAAAAGGGAGCCAAATATGTTCATTGCATATCGTAATGAAAGGATGAAGGATCGAACGCTCAATATAACGATGACCGAATTCAGCAAACAAATATCAGAAGAATGGAAAAAATTATCAGAGGAAGGAAAATTGAAATTACAAAGAAATTATCAAATTATTAGAGACCAAAAGATGCAAAGCGTCATTAGCGAACGTGTAGTCGTTTCCGATCAAATGGAAAAACATCAGACTGTAATCGATAATGAAAATGCAAATAACGAAGACGACAAACCCGATATTAAAAATTCGAACTTTAACATTTCGAAAGAGTAGAAAAGGTGAGGAAAAAAAAGTGATTTATAAATAAAATATCGATTAGCAGAGAAATTATGTATAATTTAATTAAATTTATAATGAAATTTTTTGACAGAAATCGATTTATCTACTTTCTTCTCACTTTCTTTTTTTTATTTTATTCAAAATCTCTAAAATTATCTGATGCAAAACAAAAATTTTGTCCTATGAAAATGTACGCACATGTAATGTTCTTCTGTCCGATAATAATCCGAATTTGGTTTGGTAAATTATCCAAATATAGATATCATGTATGTAGATGATGATGGCTCATTTAAGAAAATTTTGAACGTAATATACAAATTAAAAAAGGAAAAATTCTCTCGTTTTAATTTTTTTTTGTGTATTTATTTTTAAAACCAAGAAAATGATGTAATGAAAGTGTATCAAAAGAACGAAGTAAAAGCGATTTTAATATACATAATTATGCCATAATTATTTATGGAAATTTATTATTAGGTTTCAAGAATGCAACGCAATAATTGTGAGTCAGTCATTTTGGATTAATCCTGGGGCTAAAAATTTATATTTTATTTTATATATAGAACTTAATTGATTAGAAAAAATCAATTATTAAAAATTAATTAATTAAATTAATTATTCCTTAAATAATTTTGCCTTTAAATTTAAAGGCAGTTTTACTTATCAATTAAATTTAATCAATAATATTGAATAATTTAAAAAATTATTTATTTAAAAATAATATTTTAATAATTATTTTAAGTAAAATCAAAAATTAAAATATATTAATTAATAACTTTTTATATTAATTATAAAATTTTAAATTTATCTTTAATAGAAATTAATTTTTTTTATAAAAGTTAATAGAATATTTCCTAAACTACTAAAAATTAGTTTCAATTAAATAAAACTAGTTTTAGTAGTTTCAGCTATTAACTAAACTAGTTTTGACATTTAATTAAACTAGTTTCAGTTATTCTAAACTATGAAATTTTAGTTTCAAACAGAAACACTAGTTAATATTAATCATTTATTAGTTTATAATATTTAAAAATCTTTATTAAGTATTTAAATTAT